GCTTTATTAGTGGCTTTTACGATGCGATTACCGCACAATATCAGTTATAACGTCGGCTAATTCGTGTGTGTTGTTTCGTTGGTCGACGTGACCCTGTTATCGAGGTAGAGGTTAGGGGCAGGGCCGTCGGGTTCCCACTGAAACGGACGTATCATTACGTATTCAGAGATACGGATAATGAAGACGTCCATTAATAATGCGAAAATCTCGAATTAAGACATTTATTAAATTAGCATACATTAAAGGTAATTGGCAAATGAGGTACGGCAGGGCAAACCTAAGCTTTCGGATCAAGCACTTTTTTTCGATGCAGAGGCAAAATGAGCACGTCTGAGGCGGTATCGTAAAAATCCAGGCCGGATTCGGGCCGGCCCATACCTTGTACGGATCTGAGGAACACGAACGCTGTAATATTTAACAATTATTTTATCCTACAACAATGCGACCGTTAATTGCACCACCCGAATTAACCGCGCAGCTATATTTTAACCGCTACCTAACGAACCACCGTTTCGCGTACCACCACAACTTTTACATGCAAATTTATACAATTTATCTTTGGCTGTTTCTGTTTTACCCGCGGATTTATTATTTACGTTACGTAATATCGTAAATTTGACGTATGTATTCCGAACAGTCCTCCGTAATGGTACAGTAATTTACAAGGACATCAGTTTTGTAAGAGCGGTACTTTTTTATATGGATTACGTTAATAAACTACATAATTTTTGAGATGTAATCATTTTAAATGGTTCTTGCGAAAGAATTTTTTTAATGTAAAATTAGAGAGTTAATGAAGATTTTTGTTTGGGTAGCTGAGGCCGGTTCTGACCGTTATCGTCTTCGTTCGTACACGGTTTAGCCGGTCTGAACGCAAAGGGCGAGCAACGATATATAAAAAGTTGATAGAAAAGTGTACTTTAAGAGTATATTGTATGCAAATAGAGCAACATTCTTCCCGCTGCCGATATACGCGGCCGGGAACGAGGGATGCCCCCGTTATCCCCTCACAACAAAGTCCCACGGCTTTAAAAATAAATAAGGGAATTACTCACATTATACGAGACGTACGGTCCAGGAGCGGGCTCGTTATATATTTATATTGTTCTGCGCGGTCGCGAAAAATTACTTTATTATATGGTAAACTCGAGGCTGGGCTCCGGGCAGCCGGCATCCGGAAATTGATATTCAATTGCGCACCGGGATTATATTGAAATTTACGGAGATATCGATTCGCAGTTCGTTCACGGCACAAAGAAGCCATAAAGGCGCGCGTTTCTGTTCTTGAGGATAATAACAGCCGTCCTGCACCGCCGTTGCCTTTTTACGCGAGTAATTGGGCCGATTATACGTTCGATTGACGTGCAATTGATTGCCGACGTGATTTATTTAATGCTGCCCAATCGTCCGGTTATGCAGATTAATTATCCCGCTAGTTTATGCACGTTAATACCTAACATTAACCCCCAGTTAAAATACTGATTATTAAGACATCATAAAAACTTTATAAAATGTAACTAAATCATTTAATGGTCGTCACATTCATCATAATCAATGTTTCCCAATTTAACGCCCGCCGTACAATCTTGAATCCTTCCGTCGGTTTAATCTGATTAACGAACCCTCGGACTGCGTTACGTGAGTTTTATCGACTCGCTCGGCGTAACTTGTCGGACGGAACATATCGGATGGCGATATTCGGACACCAATTAATTTGCTTTGGCTCGACTCGACTCGACTTAGTCTAATTTAAATGGATTGGAACGACAGATAACCAACGGCGGCAATTAAATTATTTTTTAATACTCAATAAAAAACTTGTATTATAGGTTATTAGTTTAACATATCCATGTGACTTCCAAAAAATATTTTTAACTCGTTACAAATCAATAATGTTTTTATATCGTTAGTTGTTAATTATAATTCAATAGGAAAGTAATTTTAATAGGTAACGAACTTCAAAAATATATATCTTTAAAATTAGTCTGACCAAAATCAAATTTCGAAGAAAATGTCTGGAATTATGCTGGTTAATTACACTACATAGATGCTACACTGTAAAGAAATGTCTGGAATTATAACGGTCAGGCTCCAAACTTCAAAAATAAATCTGGAAATACTATGCGTAGACACTGTACTAAGAATTAACATTACAATTATTTTGGCTAAAGTTCAAATTTAAAGGAAATGGCTGGAATCATACTGGCAAAATTCCAAACTGCAAGAAGACTTGAAGAAGAAGTTTGAATTTACAATGGTAAGAATCCAGACATTTACAACAGGTCTAGCATTGCAGTTGATGAGATGTCATATTGCAAGAAAATGTTTTGAATTCTCTTTATCGGACTCTAACCTCAAAAATAAATTTGGAATTATATGAGCAGACATCATACATTATAATTATTCTGGTCAGACTCCAAATTTGAAGAAAATGTCTGAAATTATGCTGAAATTACATTAAAATGATTTTAGTCTGCAAGAAGAAGTTCGTATATACAATGACAAGAATCCAGACATTCACAAAAAGTCTGGAATTGCACTTGATAGATGTCATACTGCAAGAAAAATTTTGGAATTCCCTTGATCTGACTACCTAACATTACTTCGCGATATAATTAACATTATAAAAGAAAACTGACCTTGCTCAATATTAAATGTTGAGTTGACGATGAATTGGTTCATAAGGAACATCGATCTGTGTTACAATAATGGATGGAATATTAGTGAGAGAAGTGTCTGATAGTGGCAGTAGAAAACGGCAACGTATTAAAGGAAAAGCGAGGTTAGAAAAGAAGAAAGGAAAGTAAATCTTACTGCTAACCCCTTTTTGTACATTTTGATTGTGGATTTCATTTAAGGTACGAACCAAAAGACCTACACTTAGAAAGGTGGATTGACAAAAAGTGTGTACATCTCAATAACAAGAAATTCGAATTCAACTGGTTCGGCAATTTTACATGTTTTAAATAGTAATGATCTTGGACTGGTGTACAAAAATTAGATTCTTCACTGACGGCTGTGGTGGCCAAATTAAATAACCATATAAGCCATCTATTGTACTGATTACGCAACCACCACGTAACCTTAAAGAAATCAAAGTAGTTTTTCCAATGAGTGGCCATTCCTATCCCCCAGCAGATAGGGTCTTCGGAAGAGTTGAAAAGGAGTTAAGAAGGCATGCAGAAATTCTTTTATCTGAACATTACCACGAAGTTTCCATTTTTCGAAGTTTCGAACTACTGTCAATTATTGACAGTACAAGAGAAAACTGACCCTACCTAACATTCCTTCATGGTGTAATTGACACGACAAAAGAAAACTGACCTTACATAACATTCCTTCGCGGTTTAATTGTCATTACAAAAGAATACGAACCTTACCCAACATTCCTTCACTGTTTAATTGGCATTACAAAAGAATACTAACTTTACTCAACATTCCTTTACGGTATAATTGACATTAAAAAAGAAAACGTTATGGTTTATTTGGCTGAAATAAAAATTTTACAATTAGTCTGGCCAAAATCAAAATTTGAAGAAAATGCGTGGAATTATGCTGGCTAATTACACTACATAGATGCTACACGTCTGGAATTATGTTGGCGGAAGTTCAAATTGCAAGAAAAAGTTTGGAATTACATTAAAATGATTTTACACTGCAGGTAAAAGTCCGCATTTACAATGGAAATAATCCAGATATTTGCAAAAAGTCTGGAATTGCAGTTGATAGATATCACCCTGCCAGAAAAAGTTTGGAATTCCCTTGATCAGATTCCGATCTTCTAAAATATATCTGAAATATATACATATTATCTGGACTTATATAAGCAGACATCATGCTGAAATGGAAACTTTACAATTATTCTGGCAAGAGTCCAAATTTGAAAGTAATGTCTGGATTTATGGTGGCGAAATTCTAAACTCCAAGTAGTTTGGAAATACATTGAAAAGATTTAAGTTTGCAAGAAGAAGTCCGTAATTACATAAGCAAGACTCCAGATATTAATAGAAAGTATAGAATTACATTGCATAGATGTCGTAATGCTACAAAACACCTGGAATTATATTGAGAGGTTTCTAAGTTACAAAAAAAAGATTACAATTATACTAGACAGTTGTCACACTGTAAATTAATGCCTGGAAATACTTTGGTCAGGTTCCAAACTTCAAAAATTTAATTTGGAAATACTACGGTTGAAGTCTAGTCTTTTGAATACTTTAAAATTGTATTGAAAAGACTTTAGTATTCAAAAAGAAATTTGTATTGAGAATAAAAAGACATTTTGGTTAGACTCTAGATGCCCAAAATAAATTTGGAACTATAACTTCTGGCCACCATACAAGAAAAAAAAATGTAATATTCTGACCAGAGTCCGAACTTGAACAAAATATCTGAAATGAAGTCTATAACACTAAAACCATAAAGATATTAACTAATTAATGAATTGATTCATCCAGTACAGTAATATCTTCCTTATTTTATATGTGGTACTGCAAGAGTACGAAACATCACCTAACATGACACCGAAGATTTGGGGGCATTATTCACAAGGTAAGTGTGATTAAATCGTTTAATTCACTAATTAGTTTATACTGATTATACTCAATTTAGAAAATTGTCATTAAATTTAATCGGATGCAATCTATTGTAAGAATAGTTGAAAATGAGGTGTTACAAAAACATCTTTGGCAAAAACTTTAAAACAAAAATGTTTAATTAAAATCATTACAACTAATTTACTTAAACCTGATTTGATTTGATTGCAAATTTAGATCAAACTAAGCGGATTTGATGAATAAATATTTCAGATATCTATTTTGATTAGTTAATATGATGGTGCTGTATATAGTAAAGAGATGGCGCCACCAGTTTGGCTACTTGCTTTATTTTCTAGATAGTCACTTACCGTTTTGTAGTATTGATTTAATGTTTATTATAACTTAAAAGAAATATAAATAAAAAAAAAAACTGTATACATAAATATTTTAAAGTATTTATTTATAACATCGATTTTGCGTACTTACAAAAAAAAAACATAAAAATATATAATATTTTTTCAAAATAAAATAGGTAACAGATATACAGTAGTATCTATTTATTAATTCGTTGTCGTCTAAGAATTAAGTCGCTTTATTGCTTCGGTTGTATCGAGGCGAGCGTGGATCTTTCCTTTATTTTCTTGTCGGTTTTATTGCAGCGACGTTCCTTATCAAACGGACCGGCTTTACGAGGAAACCGCACGCTCCTTATTCAAGCCTATTCGTTCGTTCGTATTGCACTATTGTGGTTTTGCCTGAAGTATGCTGTATGCGGATAGGCGTAGCTTTAAACCGCAGGCGATCAAAGTGCGGGTGCTTTTTATTTTTCTTTTACTAATTTTTTTTTTCGATTATTTTTAAACGTGTAACGGAGTTGTATAGTACATAACGGATTATGGCACGCTTATTTTATTATTATAGTAATATTAAAGTTTTTTTTATTGGCGTGTTGTCTACGAGATTGTTAACTATTTCTAAATCAAAATACCGCCTAATCGTCGTCAATTACAGTCATTTCCTGTGCACGTCTACACATGTAGTTGCCAGCAAATAAATTGTTTATTTTTAAAGGTTAGCTCAGTTGTTAATCACGCCGTACACGTTGTAGGCGTTTGTATAGACACGTAAATAATAATTCCGTGAAACGGTTAAAATCTGCTTAATGACTAGAGATCACAATAAATTTAGATTCGAACGTTTTAGGTCATAAAGGAAATTTTCATCGAAAGATTTCCACGCTCGCATCGAAAAATATACAAAAATCAAAACAAAAAAAATACTAACGTGTAGTACAAGTTTTCAAATGAATCTATGAGGCAAGATATGCTATTTATGATGACTATGTACAAAAGAAAGTATGTTACATAAATTAGTTAAATGGCAAATTAATTCACGTTACGTTAAAAGAAAATCGCTGAAATCGGTCGATTCTAATCCGTGATCCGGAAAATCTGTGTGTAAAAACTGAGGAAGCGTAGGATCTCCAAAATCAACGGGGGATAGCGAAGGTTCGCCGAAATCTGGAGATGCCAGGAACGAGTGGTCGGAGAGCGGTAGCGATTCACCGTCAGATTCCAACAAGAAGTAGTCCAGATCGCTGCAATCCGATATGGACTCCGGTTTCGGATCCGGATTTGTTGATAACGCCGCGCTAAGTGTCGCTATGTATTTCATCGCTAACCTTAAAGTGGTTATTTTTGTTAATTTTTCATTGGAAGCTGTCGTCGCTTGCGCTGGCGCCATATGAGGAATCGCTCTTCTTAATGATTCAAAAGCTTGATTAATTTCCCTCATTCGATTTCTTTCTCTTGCATTTGCGGTTTTACGACGATATTTACTTAAAGGTGCGGGTTTCTGTTTCGGTTTATGTGGTTTTGTTACTTTACTAGGACTTTGCTCGGTTTGCGATTGGGTTTGTTTCATTAGCACTTCCGTTACTCTACGTACCGATCTCGGTCTTAAAGAATATTTATCTTCCTTTGACGAATTCTCATTGTTATTAGGATCAGGATAAGTCATCTTGAGATTTTGTAGCGTAGATTCGTAGTTTGTAAGCAAATTTTCCATCTCTTTTCTCGTTCACAATTAATTTCGGACACTTAATTCATTATTAGACTAATATTAAAGTTATTAACACAAATATCACAAAAGTTCGAATTTATTATTATTTTTTTCTTTTTTTTTTGTGCGGGTTTGTCGTTTAATCGTTCGTTGTAATCGCCGGGGGTTCGTCGTTCGATTTCGCGTTTAAGTCGCCGCGCGATCCCGCGACTTTACCTTTCTTACTCCTGCCCGTTAGACGGTTTGTTGGTCACTGCTGCCTTGGGATGCTGCGCTCAAGTAAATCGAGATCTGGATGGACCTCCCTCCACTAAGCTCGCGTTCTCGACTGTGCGCCGTGTCGGTACCGTGGAGAAATGATGAATTGGAAAATCATTGTGAAGGTGGAATAAAGTGACGATAAAGATCTCCGGGCGTGCGATTAAGAGGTTGGCAGCATTGTGAAATACTTATATGCTAAAGTTAAATGACGTTAAACGTAAATTACTATAATAATCAAAAAATTATTTTCAAATTATGCCCAATCATAAACTTTCGCTGCGTAACATAATAACAATTTAATTTATTTTTTTCGATTCGAAATTGAATTCATCAAAAGATTTGTTACACTTGTCATTAATCAACTTGGTATGTCCACGGGCTCTATTCAAATGAAGTTATTTCTAATTGGTTATAATTACCACTGGTATTTTCTATTGGGTAACGGTGTTCATTTTATAATTGCCACTGTGCCTAAGATAATTAACAATTTGTCGTATTTAAAAAGAAATAGTTATATAAAAATAACTCCACCTAAATCTATTGAAAATCATGGGTTGAAAAAACTCAATTACCTCATCACAAAAGATATTGAAAGAGAGATATCGAAGACAATGATACTGAAAAGAACTAATAGTACAAATGAGACAAGGAAGTTTTAGTATAACTTAGGAGTCAAAAAAGTCAAAATTATGTCAAAAAATATCATAAGTGAAAGAGAATGTTAAATGATGTCAGTCAGGAAAAGTAGATACTGCTAGACAGATCTGAGCTTTCTAAGGTTGATATCCAAAAATGAACCAAGTAAGAAACACACAAAGACGAATGTGCCTTACTCGCTTGAATGTATAAGTTGAACTAGCCACCAAATTAAAAAGTCTTAGCATCTACGATATCGGGTAGAAAATCAAAAAGAAATATAGATTCAACCAAATTTTTAATGACTTCCTGGAGCGAACCCAAGCAGAAATAGGACAAGGACGTTTTAGTATGATGTAGCAGTGAAAAAAATCAAAATTATGCGAAAAATACCATAAATAAGAGAGAAAATATTAAATGATGTCAGGCCAATTACTTGCTGCTAGAGAATTCTGAGGTGATACTGCTTGCAACTAAAGACTGAATATCTAGTTCAAGTTCTAAGTCGCCCAGCTTTTTAAGGTTGATATTCAAAAAAGAACTAATGGGAATAAAGTACAAATGGGACAAAGACGTTTTAAACTTAACTTAACTAACTTAGGAGTCAACAAAGTCAAAATTATGTCAAGAAATATCATACGTGAAAAAGAACGTTAAATGATATCAGGCCAATTAGATGCTGCTAGGGATATTTGAGATGATACTGCTTGTATTTAAAGAAGTTTTCTAAGGTTGATACCCAAAAATCGCCCAAGTAAAAAAGACGAGTGTGCCTTACTCAGATGGACGCACAAGGAGAAATAGGAATAACCAGAATTGAATGCATAAATTGAGCTGGGCACCGAACTAAAAAGGTTTAGGATCTGCGACATTGGGTGGAAGATCAAAAAGAAATATAGATTCAACCAAATTTTTAATAACTTGCTGGAACGAACCTAAGTGGAAATAGAACAAGGACGTTTTAATACAATGCAGGAGTGAAAAAAAAAACAAAATTATGTCAAAAATACCATAAATAAGAAAGAAAATAAAAAATTAAATGATGACTGAAAATTAAATAAAGACTGAATATCTGGTTCAAATTCTAAGTCGCCCAGCTTTCTAAGGTTGATATCTAAAAAAGAACTAATAGTACAAATGGGACAAGGACATTTTAGTATAACTTAATGCTAAGACTTTTTAATTTGGTGACCAGTTCAACTTATACATTCTAGGAGTCAAAAAAGTCAAAGTGAGAGAGAATATTAAATTACATACTGCTAGGGAGGTCTGAGGTTATATTGCTTGTATCTAAAGAAGTTTTCTAAGGTTGACATCCAACAATGGACCAAGTAAGAAAGACACAAAGACGAGTGCNACTTAATGCTAAGACTTTTTAATTTGGTGACCAGTTCAACTTATACATTCTAGGAGTCAAAAAAGTCAAAGTGAGAGAGAATATTAAATTACATACTGCTAGGGAGGTCTGAGGTTATATTGCTTGTATCTAAAGAAGTTTTCTAAGGTTGACATCCAACAATGGACCAAGTAAGAAAGACACAAAGACGAGTGCGCCTTACTCGGATGCATGCACAAGAAGAAGTAGGGGTGACTAGAATAATTGAATGCGTAAGTTGAACTAGGCACCAAATTAAAAAGTTTTAGTATCTGCAATATGAAGATCAAAAAGTTATAAGAAAATTATAAATCCTAGATTGGAAGTGTAAAGACTAAACAACCCTAATTTACAAGAAGGATGATCATGTCGAACCAAAAATGCAGACTCACATCGCATTTTGCATATACAAAACATTTATTATTTACTATGGAATCTTTGTGGATATATATGAAGAAAAAAGTTTCATGAAGTACATAAATACAGAATCACATAGTCACAGATACGACAATACATAAGGACATAGTCACCTTTAAGAAAAGATGGTTGTCAGATTACAAGATGGTTTACTTTCCTATCAATTAATGTTGTAGATTCTGAAACACACAAGAACTAATCCGATAATTACCAATGTTGTGGAAAGGTTAGCAAAAAGGTATAAGAACCTAAATAATACATTTAGACCGTCGTTGCTTCAGCTCAATGATTGCCGATGAAATTATACTGGTTAACCTGGAAATAGAAAGAAAAAAGTTAAACATTTATGTTGATGGTATGACACTTAATGCTCAAAATGAGATCTTTAAGATAGGTATCGAATTCGACTTAGCCAAATGTGCAAGCTGCAATCTAAACAACATTAATGGTATAAAAATCAAGCTATAGATTAGATACGACATAATATCACAAAACATATATATCACGAAATAAAAATGCCACTAAAATGTCAATAGTTCCTTAATGTCTAAGATTAAGACTATAACTTCTCAGGAATGCTGGCGGAACATGCTTAAAAAATCTGTATGGTAAGACTATGAGCAAGATACAACCTTAAAGGAATATGTGAGAAAACCAATAACTGGCATGTTCTTCAATAACGCAATATTGCAAAGATTGTCCAAAATCCACATATTGATTTTGTTGAGTTGCCTTCCTGTTTGATTTATGCTTAATTAGTCTTTATTTGTAAGAGTACAGAACAGATTGCCAAAACGGAGTTTATTATTAATATATAGAATGAATACAATGGAGCTGCTGTATGCTTTATAACTTTGAACTGATAATTTCGAATCGTAAAACAACATAAGGTGTAGGGTTGATCCTGCAGGTAATAAAGAGCTGGCATTCGGTTTCTGAATAGCTCTTTGGGTCGAATGTTAATTCGTTCCTTTCCATGTCTATCATCAACACGAAACTCTAAAGTAATACAAAAAACAATGATTTTGCCTTTTGCTATGAGGCATCCTCAAATGAAAAATTTTGCCAACTTTTCAAACTCCAAGTATGAAGAAAACTTTTATTAAATGTAGAATTCCTTCGTTTACTATTAATTATGTAGAAAATCTTACGGATAAACCGAATTATTAATTTCCATACGAGTATAATAGTATGGCTTTGGACAAATTTGAATTTTAAAAAATGCAAAACAGCATCGAAGAGTAATGATCGGTCGTTGTTGCTTCTGGGCGGGGTAAGGCACCTGCTACGACCTCTTTGTCAACCTTTTGTTGTTGGCGAAGAAAAATGAACGCATTTTTTAACCGGTGGGAACGGATTATATGCTCAAGAGCAAATACGCGCGCGTTATGTATGGTGGTCATAAAACAACATTAGCTTTTATCGGTTCGAATGCAGATGTGACAACAGGTGTTAAATAATGTATTCTTGTGTAAGAATGTACACGTTTTTGAAAAAGATAAATACGTTTCAATTTGTCCTTTGTATCAAACTCGAAATAAATCAAAGTGGCTAAGTTTATTGCATTTATTATAATGGCACACCAACGGTAGAGGACTTCGCGCGCGCTAAAAGTCATTTATGCGGACGCGTCTCTTCCTAGAATACCGACCGGTTCCCTTGAAATCGTAAAACGTGCTTGTTATACCGGCGGAGGTCCTCGGTGACCGGTAAAGATATTAAACAAGCAACTGTCAGGGTACGAAGACGTTTAAACCGCACTCCGGCGTTATAGTTCACAATGAAACCGAGGAGATGGCTCTTGGTGTCGCACCTGGAATTCCATGCAAGAGAGAATAAAGTCGGCATTAAACCGTACGCGGGGCAGCTTAAGGTGTATACATATAGCCTAGAAAAACTAAAATCGTATGCAAATCCTAATTGGATTTGGTTCGCCTTCAGATCGATTGAAGTCTCTCAATCGGCGATAACATCAACTAGAAGAAATAAGTAGAAAAAATTAACAACAAATCGCTGAAAAAAAATATCTAAACTCGTGTTTCATTTTGAAAATCATGTTGAAGGTATGAGTAATAAAACTATAATAAAAGTTCTTTTGTGTTTTGTGTATGACTACGCGCGATTGTCGGCGTGCAAAACAATTAAGAGTCGCATGAATATATGCACACCTACCGGGACGACAATGGCGTAAAATCTTTTGTAAACCGCCGGTGCATTCTCTGGTCGATTCTGGGCGTTAAATTGGGACAATCGCGTATAGAGGCGGGGTCAAGGTGCCGATACAGCAACGTAATCGAAATAAATGACGACCCGAAGGAATTATTTAATTTTGAATCTTTTTCGGGAGAGGGGAATTTATAAAAGCCCGAGGTGAATTATCGGCCGTGGCACGCAGAACTGGCTTTTATAAATTAAAGCCGAGTCGTTTTTGCGTTGCGGACGTCGCAATTTTTCACGTTCCGGGTCCTGGGAGTCGGAGCTCTTTGTCGGGCGTGCGCGCGTTTAACGCGCAATTAAAGCCAAATATCAATTATGACACTTCCCGGATGAGTTACCGCGACTTTTTCCGCCGACCGAACGG